TTTAAGTAGTCTACCTGAGTTCTACACTAGCCGCCATGCCTGCAATCTAACTAGGAGATTATCTATTTAAGCTCTCTAACTTTTACAAGTGAGAGTACAACTAGCCATACCTGCAACTTTTGGTTGCCTATTTAAGTAGTCTGCCCGAGGTTTCACACTAGCTACCATACCTGCAACCCAACTAGGAGATTACCTATTTAATCTCTCTGATCACAACTAGCCCGCCATCTCTTACCTAACCAAGGTGTAACTCACTATTCATATGCTAGATTTTGCGACACTTATAGATTTCGCACCTACCTTAGGACTTACTAGCATTAGCTAGTCTATCTACGAGGTAAACCTAACAGAGCAGTATATGTCTCACACATGTATTTACCTGCATATTCGGTAACTTCTTTCTAATCTGGTACCTGTTGTGTTGCCGCCACCGGGTTCGTATTTTGAGCTATCTTTTAGAATACTGCCGTAACCCGATTTGTATCTCAAACCACAACCTTTCTATTTTAGTAGTTGTTACGTATTCCTGCTCTTGTTTTGGGTTCGCACAACCCCAGCACCCACATTCAAACTTTCCTTCTTTCCCGGATTCTTTATCGGTCTCTCCCTTACTTCCAGCCAGCAACCTGGAAGGGTTGGTTCACCTAGACTTTAGGTGTCTATATGGTCTTCCTTCCCTTGGTACATGCATCCAGAGCACATGTTCTTTTCTTCCGGTTTGGCGACCCGGCGGTTCGGCTAGTATGTCCTCTCACTTAAGGACCTGGTTGCTTGGTTCTCCGATCTCAGTCTCTGGTTCCAAATTTAGTCTTCCTGTAGTACTATCAAAGATCGCACTACCTTCCAACTTGGGACTTGCCAAACGGGTTTTCAGTTCTTCTAGTATCTCGAATTTATTGCGCCAAAGCTCCCATTCTAGATGGTGTGACCGAGATTACAGATTTCTAGATTTTACCGATCGTTGAATAGCCGTTAACTGTATCACAGAACTATTTTTCGAAAACGTTGTCCGTGGAATTCAAACTTTAGACCTGCTGTCTGGGGTGCGACAACTCCACCACTTCACTAAGTTGCCACACCCACAAATTTGACTGCTTTTAAAAGTATCGCATATATAATTATTTTAGTTTTAAAAAAAATATTAGTATTGTATATACAATTGTAAATGAATCGATATTATAAGCAATTTGATCTTATTTATAGGATAAAAAATGATTATAATCTAACCTGATATATATTGATTATAATCTACCTGATATATATCGATTATAATCACAATCGATACTAATCGGCAGGGGTGATTATAATCAATATATATCCAAGTGGTTAGTAATTGATATATATCTATATATAAATTTTGCCGATAGTATATAAATTATATAGTAGTTCACATGAATAAAGGCAGGATTGTTTAAAAAAAAAAATAATAATAATTCAATATGAATTTTTTTTTACCTTAAAGTCTCTAAAGTCTATTATTGTCATGCTATTATTGTCTAATTAAATTTGCCAAACATAAGCTTAATTAGAGTAATTGCTATCTTTTGTTCTTCAGGTTAAACAAAGTTCTTTTTGGTTTTACAATAATTATCAATACAAACTTTCTTAGGCATTCCAAAGTTTAATAAAAAACTATTCTATTCTGATTCTAATACCTAGTATGAGCATTTTATAAATGCTTTTGCATACCACAGGATGGTTTCTGATATAAATCCATTACTATCAAAATCAAGATTATTAGAAGAAGGGAATAAAAGATGGCATGAAATCAAAAAAAATGAACATGATAGTATTCAAGAGAAAATATAAAGCTTTCTATTAACTCCAATTCTATTGCAAGCATCATTTAGTTTTAGAAAAAATCTAAGCAAACCTTCAACCACTTTAGATAAATCAGCATCTGTTTCTTGTCTTTTATCTTCATTTTATAAATATAAAATACCTTCTAATGCTACAGCCCAAAAAGCAGCATATAAAAAAATTAAAGATGCAAAGTCAAAGGTTATTGAAATTGTATTCTTATTTAATCTAGCCACAGATATAAATATTTGATATGATCTTTCTATTTGGATACAAGAACACAAAGAAGTTATTAATGAATACTCAAAGTAAATTAATACTCTCAAATGACATGCAAATAATCAAGCCCAAATAGAAGCAAAGAAAAAAAAGCAACTCCAAGAAAAGGGTATTGTTGAGCAATAGGATAGCCTTGGAAGACTATCAATACTTGCACAGAATCCAGATTTTCTTGAAAATATTCATGACTATTGAATTTAATAAAGCTGATTATAAATATAGAAAATCTGTAATCAAAGTCAGAACTATTACTTATTTAAAAAAAGAACTAGAAGAAAGATATGAACTTTACATAAGCAGACAAACTTTGTCTATTTATCTTTGGCCAAAACACCCCAATACTTTTTTGGCAAAGCGGCATCACCACTCTGCAATAGTTTAAATTCGGTCAGTATCAAGAAGTAAAAAATCTGATTACCTTGATAGCCACTATTGTCTTGCTTTAATAAAAGATGCTCGAACTTTTACTTCATTATTTTTTAATTATTCTATAATAATCTTTTAAGATGACAAAGCAAAAGTTCTCTTGAGAATTTCTGCTATTGGTCAAACTTTTAAATCAATTGAAATAGTCAATGAGCCTATTTCTCTATCTGATCATGATTTTTCTTTGAGAAATAAAATGAAATTTATTCCAGCTTTATATCTTTTAATCAACCCAAAAGATACAAATAATAATCTTCATTTAGAATATCTTTCAATTTATATTTGGTCTGAGTACTTTGTAGGGATGACTATAGCAACATATATGAGTGATTTGATTTCAATTGTAGATTCTAGAAAGTATGATGAATTTATCAATATAGAAGAAAAAGTTAAACCATTATGGATTTTGATAGTAGATAGTGGACCAGACAAAAATTCTAAATTTTTAAAAAACATTATAGAATATTATAAGTTCTTTTGTTTCTTGGATTTTGATTATCTTTCAATCTATACCTATGCACTAGGACAATCTTCTTTCAACCTTGTTAAAAGAAGTATAGTTTTTCTTTTATCTAAGTTGGCTAGTATTTTTTTTACCTATAGATCATTTTGTCACTCACCTCAACTCCCAAGGAAAAGTGATTGATGAAGAACTAGCAATGAAAACTTTTAGTTTTTAGAAGAAAAACTTGGTGATATTTGGTAGCGTAACAAAATTTATAAAAAACCTGTTTAAGCTGAATATTTAGATACATATAATGACATGTTTGCGGATGTGAAGATTTCATAGCAATAGATTGAAGAATATTGCCAAATTTGTCACTATTCACTTAATATCGGAAAATATTATAATCAAAATTGCTACAAGCCTCCTCAAGCATCAGAAGCAGCTATTTTGTTACAAGAATATAATGGTTTTTTTATCTCCTGTTATTCAAAGACATGACTGATATTTTTTGAACCCTATTCATATTCTTAAGTACTCTAACAAACTTAAAATTTTTCTTTATAACAAGTACTATTTATTAATATCAGCCAAAATGTATTAACGTTTATGTTGCTCAGAATATGGAAAGTACTTTCAAACTTTAAAATTTATTTAAAAACATAAACTTCAATATTCAAATTATAGGTATCAAGGTTCTAAGCCAGATCTTCCAAAAAATACACTTACTAATTCTGCAATGTATGAAAATTTCATTCACTTACAAGAATTGTGTAAAGAAATTGTTTTTGAACAAGATCTTTTTGATAGTGAGGCCCTTAAATAATAAAATATGTTTATTTGTATAGTATAAATGAATATATTTTTTTCTAAATCAAATAAAAAATAAGTATTTAAATAAAACTGTTTTAACTTTACCAAGGTAGTTTTATAAAATGCATAATATTTGTTATCATGAAAATTTTGTGATTGAACATTAAAATTTTTGATTTACTATAATTAAAATCACATGAAATTAGCCTTGATTTTACACTAGTAATAACCACTTTTAAAAATCAAACAGTATAATAGATCTGATCGGATATTAACCCCACTCTTCTAACAAATTAGCTAATTTCTGTCTCTCCTCTAATAAATTAAAACCACCATTTATTTCAAATAACCAAGCTATAAATTTTATAGTAAAGCTTTAGAAGAATTAAATACAAAAAATTTATAAAAAAATCTGGGTTACTTGATACAAACTTGTCCAAAAATAGGAAAAAAAAGTTGATATATTATGAAAAACCAATAATGCAGTATGGGAAAAAGAAAAAAAAAGAAAGAAAGTAAGAAAAGCAAAAACAAAACAAGTATACTAATAAGAAAACTTTATATTAAAGGAAAAAAAAATGAAAATATATTATAGATATGATAAAAGAAGAGATTATAAGTTGGATTAAAGAAGGGTAGCAAGCAGATTAGTAAAAAATTAATTAGTAGTCTTGACAAGCTATAAGAACTATCCAATGAAATATCAACTTGTCTAAGTACAGGGCAAGATGTTGTGAAGGTAAAATTTTATTATAGCAAGTTGTACATAAATGTTCTTCGAATAATTAGATAAGCTAATATTTGTAAATTTAGATAGCAAGAAAATTAACTTTTTGTTAAAAAATTTTTAATATTTAAAATTATAATATTATAAAGTTTAATAAAGTAGTAACAAACTGCCAAATTATAAAAAAAAAAATAATAATAATCAATTATATATTAATTAGCTACTAATATCAATTATTGTTGATTTTTTTAATTAATAGCAATTGTCTTTGCAGCTAGTAATTGATATCCATTCTATTTAAAAATTTTTTGATAATAATAATAATATTGTATATATAAAAGATTAAGAAGTTATAAATTATAAGAATGGTTTTAGCTTTAGAGCTATTTGTACAGGACTAAAAGTTAGACTTCCACATAGGCTTGGGCTACTTACAGGTATCCATGAGTAGTATTACAAGAGCTGGGCCAGGATATCGATTTTTGAACCCTTGGGTAAGGGTAAGGGCTCCAGGTACTAGGCTCTTACAAAGATGGGTAGTGCTAGAGTAATACCACTACTCTGCTCTTTTAGCACATAAATACCTGTTAAAACATTTCATATGACTAACAACCAATCAAATCCGGTAGATAGTAAATATACAGTATATACATAAAAATTAGTAATTTTTTTTTTTTGGTTTTAAAGTTTAATTCAATAATTACTAATAATGATAATTACTAATAATGATAATTATTAATAATGATAATTACTAATAATGATAATTACTAATAATGATAATTACTAATAATAATAATTACTAATAATGATAATTACTAATAATGATAATTACTAATAATGATAATTACTAATAATAATAACCAATGACTAATATACTAAAATTGCTATCGCCCAATACACTAACTTACCAATACAAGCACTAAAGTATCTATGCACTAAGTATCAATACACTAAAGTACCAAGCACTAAAGTACCAACACACCAAAGTACTAATGTACTAAAATACCAATACACTAAAGTACCAACATACTATTATACTAAAGTACCAATACACTATTGCACTAAACTACAAACATAGTAAAGTATATACTAATACATACTTGCCAATTAATAAGAAAGCATGAAGCTAACAAAAAACTTGGTATATCAAGAATATGTTTACTAGTGTGCTTTAAAATATTATTAAAGTAAAAATTTGCTAATATTAATATCTACCAAATATCAAAATGAACAATCTTGCTTTTGCCAGTATGAATGACCCTATAAATAGTCACAATATGACTGCTAACATTAATAACTCAATGAATAATTACAATGAACCTACTAATATAGATTACTTTTTGGAAAATCACAATATCAATAACCACAATATTAATAATATATTAATCTTTAATAGTTTTGCTTCAACAAGTTTTGTGGTATCATCTGTTATTGACTTTAATACTGACTCGACCAATAGTATAATTACTAATGCTATTGGCCAAACTAACAGTAAAACTTCTAGTCAAACCACATCACCAAAGTATATATTTCATATATGAAATAGTTTTTCTATAGTATATAATAAACAAAAAGCTAAATACAAATACTATAATAAGTTGTTAAGTTATAAAAAAAGAAGTGAGATATTATATCTTTAATATCATCTAGATTTTTGCTATAAGTATCAAAGGTTATTATTTAATAATAGCGGCTCAGATCCAAATTTACCAAATAGCCAAACTTAATTAAGGTTTAATGCTCAAACAAGAAAAAGGCCATATTTGAAAGATTTAATTAGAAAAAACTTAACTAACATGATAGTTTTAGATGAGTTAAGCTTCTAGTTTGTAGAAAGGTGAGGTTTTTGCAAGCTTATTAATGAATTATTATCTGATTTTAGTATTAGTGCTAATACAATAAAGTGAAATATCATAAAAGCTTATAGTAAAAGAAAAACATTGATTAAAGAAATCCTTTAGAATACTAAGAGTAGAATTTCTCTCACATGTGATGCTTGGATATTACTTCAGCAACTTGGATACTTGGCAGTTACTACATATTTTTTTAACAAAGAATGAAACCTTATTTCTATTTTACTATCATTCCCATTAATACCTTATCTATATACTGAAATTAACATCACAAATTGTATCAAGGTAGAAGTAGATAAGTGATTTATTACTACTAAGATAATTAGAAAGTAGTTTATATTTTATACTGGTATTTAAGTTTAATTAAAATATTGTACTTTATTATTATAGTTACAAACAATTATACTTGACAATGCTGTATTAAATAATATTGCAATTCGTAAACTGGCTGATCTTATTTCTCAAGGCTTATATATCAATATTAATGAAGAGCTCTTTTATAATCATTGTCTTGCTCACATTTTAAATCTCATCGTAAAAAATGGTTTAAAGCAAATTGAAGCAATTATTGGAAAGGTAATTATATATATTAACTAAAAAAAATCAATATCGATTACTATAATAATATTAGATATTAATAATTATTATTAAATTTGATTAGATCCATAGCTACATTAAAGCGATACACATATCACCAAAGCAATGTCAGATATTTGTAAATCAGAATCTATAAAGCCTATAATTCTATTATTAGATTGTGATACTTGTTGGAATTCTACATTCTTGATATTATAATCAGCTATAAGAGTTGTAAATATAATTATTAGAATGAAAGATAGAGATAAAATGTTTCCTGACGTACCTAATGATAAAGAATAAAAAAACACAGATACTCTTTGTAATATTTTAGAACTATTTTATAATTGTATGTATTTAGATATTATTAATTTTTATTATATATTATAAGTTTATTATAATAAATATAATTTGTAATATAAATAACTAACTTAAATTATTTTTAAAATAAATATAGATACAATAAAAGCATCAACAACTTCATACCCAACTCTTAATAGTACTCTTTTCTCAGTCAAGAATATTCATACTCATCTCTTGGGTATGAAATTTCATTTGGATAGCTTTATCCATGATATTTGTTATGCTATGATTAAAAAGTTTAACAAATATTAAGAACATAGTAGTTTTTTATATATAACTGTATATATTTTTGATCTTTGCTACAAAATGCAATTTATATTATATTATTATCGTGAAAAAGAAAAATTGATATCATATAATCTTGATGAAAAATGCAAGATATTCGAGTAAAGTATATATATTTATTAACCAATATTATATAAATATTTTCTTATACTTATTTTAAAATTATCAATAAAAATTAGATTTGAAGATTTATATCTTTGTATATATTATTTCTTATCAACTAGTAATCACAATAATGAAAATATTATTAATATGGAAAATAATATATCAACATTTGAAAATCATATTGATGATTTCTTTGAATATGCTGCAAAACAAACCAGGGTTAGCAAAAATAATTCACTTTTCGAAGTGAAACAATATTTAGATGAACCAATTGCTTCAAAAAATATTAATATACTTAAATAGTAGAAATATAATAAGGATTGGCTTTCCAATTTATCAGCAATAGTCTGAGACTTTTTAGCTATATCTGCTACAAGCATGGCATCAGAACAGATGTTTAGCTATGCAAGTTGCATTATTGTTAATAACATACTTTATTAAACCCAGATACAATAATCACATTAATATGTCAAAGAAATTGGTTAGATATAGCAGATAAGTATGGCTAGGATTTATAAATTTCTTAATAAATAGTATTTTTTTAGTTTGCTACAATCTTTTAAATTTTTTTTTTAAAAAAAATTCTGGGTAATTTTTTTTTTTGATTTTTATAAAAATTCTGGGTAATTTTTTGCTTTTTTTGTTGATTATTATAGAGATTATAGATAAATTTTTTTCTTTAATCTTTATAAAAATTCAAGCAGATTTTTTTTAAAATAATGCCAAAATTTTAATAGAAATTAGTACTTTATCTTTTATTTTTTTATCAGTATTACTAGATCTATATAATCTAAAGATTTTATAAATAATATTTGAATCTAATCTTTATTAGCTATGATGCATTATGCTTAATATCACTTTGAGTTTTGATTATTATGATCTCATATTATAATTTGAACTTTAATTTGAGTTTCTAAAATTTTATATAATTCATCATTTATATGTAATAATAGATGTTGGTTAGAAATTGGCTTTATTATAGAAGTTTGAAAATGCTATCAGATGTTTCTTAATCACAACAATTATACAAACTAGTAAAAATCTAAAGATTTTTATGTTATTATAAAATTTATTTGCAATGAAATAATATTTGGAAATCTTTATAAAAACACAACTATTGATTTTCATAATGATTTTAATTTAAGACAATAGATGTATTAGTAAAAATCTTATGAATTTTATTTTGATTTCTTTAGAATTTTAGTTTTAATCAACCTGGGTATTAAGTAATTATACTCTTTATAGTAAATCTTTATAATAATTCGATTTGTATTAAAAAAATATATGAAATACTAAATAAACTATATTTGTTAATACTTAAATATAAAATTTTAAAATTATATAAGAAAATTAATAACTTTTTTAAAAAAGTCTAGATAGTTACATTTTTGGATAATAATAGTTGGAACTCATGGGCAGTTCAAAGGGTACCTGTATTATAATAGGCCAGACATAGATGTTGAAAACTGAGCTCTAGAGTAAGGGTAGAGCTTAAGCAAATAGGCTCTTGTACAAACATGTAGGATTAGGATACTACTAGTACCCAGCTCTATCCAGCCCATGCAGAAGCCTACTAAAAGTAAGTATAGTAAAGTGTTTTAAAAAGTTTAAAAATAAGATTACTGTTGTTAGCAAGTTTGGTTTTAATAAGACAAATAATATCCAAATTGTTAGATAAATAATAATATTCTTAGATTTATTGTTTGAAATTTTGATTAAAACTTCAAATATTGTATATATATATTAATAAATTAAGAGGAGAGCAAAAGAGTATTAAAGTTAAAGATTATGAGTATTTAATTTAAAAGGTATAAATAGGCAAAAATAAATTACTTCTAGATAAAGTATAATAATATAATCAGGTAGAGGACAAGGTTTTTCAAGTAAATAAATATATACTTTACTATAGTTTAATTTAATAAATATAATAATTTTGTTTTGAAGATTGCTTTATAGACTGTTTGTAAATAAATATAAAAAGAAAAAGTTAAGAATTTGAAAAGATGAAATTATAAAGTAGTTTTTGTGATAAAAGAAATTAATTAAAATAGCTAAAAGGTAAGCTAATAAAATACTTATCAATGAAAATAAAATTTACTTTTATATAATAAAAATAAAATGCAAACTTTTTCCTAACTTAGTAAATTAGTAATATTTAAAAAATTTTGTTTTTGTATAACTCAAGACTTCAGTTTGAATTTCAGATCAAACCTATGAAGTAATAACACTAGCTTAATACTGCCAACTAATACTATATTATTGCAAAATTATAATTTGATTAGCTTTATATAATACAGTCAAACTTGGAATACAAAAATGTATAATTGTAGAGAAGTGCGACAGTTATATATAGAGACCAAATTTATATATTTAATAATAGGTTGTAATTTAAAAAATATGCTTATAAAGAAAATGTGCTTATATAAGAGGTGACTATAGAGAGGTCTGACTGTATATCAATTCAACAATTAGCGATTTTATCTAGTGATTTCGGGCAAAATTAATTAGGTCCGGAGGCTCGGGGTACACAAAAGCGAAATTTTTTGGACATCGCTAACTCACTACCCTAACCCATCTACGTAGCGAACTCGCAACTCAGGTTTTACCAATATTTATAAAAAAAAAAACAAAATTTAAAATTATATTTAATATAAATTTTTTTTATACTTTGGGCATGTACAAGACCAAGAATCTTGTATGCTATAAGCCTTGTACACTGAATACGATTTTTATGATACTGTATAAATATTTTTTTGTGTTTGGTATTGGATCTCTATTAAATTGTCAATGGATTAGCAAATACAATCTGTGACCAATATAAGAAATGTAACCGACGCTTAGGTAATATGCTAAATTCACGAGGCTGCCTTTTTATCGTGCACTTGCCACAAGAAGCTTAACGTTAATAGATAATTGCAACGTGATAATTATTAATTATTAAACAGTGTTACGATAATAATCGTAACACGTGTAAATTTTGTTTAATTAGCATTTAGCATCAGGGATCGGTAAACAAAAGTTGCCTTTTGTAGGGATAAGTAAATAAAGTTTACCTTTTTGATATATTCATATAATGTATGCAGTGAGTAGATCAATAAAATAAATTTACGTTAACCACCCATCCAGTTACAAAAATTATAATAGATTCATTGCTCAAGCTAGAAGATCTAAAGATTGAAGTTTAATGCTGTACGTGCAACATGATTTTTTTATTGGAAAAAATGGCTGAATGCGTGTAAAGAATATAATACTGCACTATAATATACGATAAATATTTCATATCGCATAACATTTACACTAAAATATTATTTTTAACACACTAAATATTGTAAATTAAATTTTTTTTTTTTTGGTTAAAATGTCATTTCATGCTTGTTATTTCTTTAAAACTTGAAAAACCTCATAATCATCTACTCTGAAATAATTCCATTTATCTCTAATTGTGTGTTCATATTTCAACCCACCAGATGCGTAACTTGTTTCAGCTCGAGCAGCATCATCGACGATTTTCAATTCGTAAAATCCAAACGATGGTCCTAATCGATCATGAAGTTGAATTGCATCATTTACGTAATCTTCTTTAATCCTACTTAGTTTCGCTTTACTTAGTTCTTTTCCATCTCCTAAAGAAAATATAAAGCTGTCACGAGTACCACGCCATTCGACATCTCTTGGCGAAGACCATCCTATTGGATTATAGCCTCCTATTAATTCATCTGACTTACTCACTCTTACGACAACTATAGTAGCACCTTGACCATCACATTGGGTATGAAATGTTTTAGCGAAATATCCATCACGGCTTCCACGAAATAATAATCTTTTAATAATAAAAAAATAGATACTTATTATTATTATTTATTTAAAATTTCACATTAAATATTTAATGAACCGAATAAGTACCTGAAATAATACGGAATTGGAAACATTTCAGATAAAGACGTAGACTCCGTCACCTGTTTTCGATCTATCCAACACGCAATAAGTGCAGCCTGTTGATGAGTAATAATTATTGAATCTATCGCTCTTTCCGGTGTTGCCGGTATTGTAACAATAGATTCTGATTGTCTTTTAGACAATAAATGTTGGACAATTCTTGATCTCAAATTTGATGGTAAAATCCTTATATATGGTTTGACTTTAGTGGTAAATTCTTCAATTGAAAATTGACCAAACCTTATCAACGGAATACATCGTTGTAAAGTTTTTTCCAATGCATTGAATTCTTTTGTACCCCAATTTACAATGTCCAAATTCTTTAAATTCGGTGTGTTGACTAAACCCCATCTAAGTACAAGATCCCAAATTTTTCCTTCTTCCATACATAAATCATCACGGTTTAATAAAGATACTAATGTGGCTTCATCTAATTCAATAAACTCTCGTGATTCAAAAAATTTAATAGGATCCGGACATACTATTGATATACAGTGAAATCTTAATTGATTACATGCATTTAAACCTATAACTGTATTTAGAACGTATAAAATGTTTTCTTGGATCCACGTCAACTTATTTTTAAGAAGATAATCTTGTAGTGGATATATAAGCTCTTCAAATATTAATTCATCCGCTGCTACCAAAAGTTCTACAATGTCCTTTCCATTAAGTTTATCTAATACGAGGTTGCCACTATATATATACCTAAAAAAAAATAAAAATAAATTATAAAAACACGTATAAAAATATAAAATAAAATAAATAAATACAGAGTTAAAAATTACAAGTTCTTACCTAAGTATTACTTCAAATACTATCGGTCTAATATTAGGTTTTTCAAACACATACTTTGCCCCTTCTTTCTTTGCCCATTTATTTGATAAGGCCGCTCGAAAATACTCTGACCTTGCCCTTAGAATAACCGAATGTGCACGAAAATGTTTATTTTCAGTTTTGAGGTTCCCAACTTTAATCATAACGTCATAGTCTTCTGCTTGTTCGAGTAGAGTGCCAAGGTTATCAGATAGTCGAGAATGAAATGATAAAGACATGGTTTTTTTTTTTTTTAAGAAAAAAAAAAAGTAAAATTTCTATATACAAACTAAAAGACGTGTAGATGGAAGTTATAATATTAGCGTAATTATGTTTATTTCATTATATATATATATTTGGTCGGATGACTATTTTGTTTGTCAAATTTAGGCGCATGATTGGTGTATAATGAAGGAGTAAAGGAGCATAAGCATTTATACACAAAATAAGTGGCTTAGCAATGGGTACCTTAATATCCTTTATTCGGCAAAATCGGCTATCCGTGTCTGGAAATTCTACCAATCATATTAGTTTCTGGTTTTCCTTATTCGGCCGGTAAATTTTATTCCCAGTAAGTGAAATTTGTGTGCGTGGCAATAACAAACTATTCTTCATGCAGATCCACAAATTCGCTCACCATGTATATATATATATATGTCTAATATGTAACAAGTATAAATATGTGCAAAAATGAACGTGTTGATCGCTGCGACTGTGTGAAAATTTTTATGTATTTGATGTATGCAAATATATAATACTATTTTTGTAAGGTCTTTGTAATGACTTGAATTACTCTTGAATCACAAGACCGTTATCCGGAACATTCAAGATATTATATCGAACCTTCTAAATACTTCGATTCGTACATACTAACATATCTTTTAGTATAATAGTACACTAATAAAATTAAAAATTATCGTTATATATTTTTAATAATAAAAATTTTATGCAAACATTTTAGAGCTCGGAAGTAGAGATCGGATGCTAATTGACATAGTAAAATTGCTTTGTTATTAGATTTTCTTAGGCCAGTCCACACTTAAATTTGCTTACGTATTTTATACGTAAAGCCACCGTTATATAAAAGCCGAGTCTATTTTTTAAATGTTACGAATATTTGTCAGCTATTTGTCTTTTCAATGCCACTAAGTTAATCAATTTGGAAATAGCCATGTAGTATAGCATTTATAATACGTATATTTATTTATTCATTTAGTTATTTATTAGAGGTACAGAGGTACGAGTAGTAACGGGATTTTCTGCACTAGAGTTTAGATCCGGATTACAAGTGAACCAGTTAATCCGTATCATAACTTGCAACCCGGGTTAGTTTAATTCTTCAAACATATAACTGTATATACTTACTGCACTGTAATATATATTATAAATAAATATATAGATTATAACAGGTTTCCTTTTTTGAGATTGTAATTTATCCCAGTGCAAAGTCAGGTGTCGAAACGATTGATCTTTTTAATGAAATTTTGTTTATCGCTATGAAATTACCTTTTTATCGTTATATTCGATTTATATATAATTTTTACTATAATCTGATTTTATGTTTTGCAATATTAAATATAAACACCAATATAATAATATATATACTGTATATATAGATAAGCATATTTTTAATATATATATACAGTAATTAGATATCAAACTTAGAAAATTTTATCATATGATTTTCATAAATTACACAAATCGACGAATTTGCATTTTTTAAAATTTCACCGGATACTTTAGTTTTAACATA